CAGTTTGGGCTCGGGTAGGCGTTTAATCGTGCACTTTGTAACAAAATATCTCGGGCATCCGTTTTTAGCAAGGGCATTTCATAGAATACATAGGCAGTTGCTGCTCCACGGCATTGAAAAAGCAAATTCATCTTTTTCTGATGACTAAAGAGCACATTTAGCCACACTTTTACACCAGTGATGAAAAATTGTGGAAGTCGGTGTGCTGCACTGTTAGTAGTTTTTTGCGGAAAAACATCTGGCTAACAACACAGCCAAAACGGTAGCGAATACTTTCGCTCAGACCACACTCCAGAAGTTATAAATGGATGCATATTGTTAATTTTCTGGAGTTGTTCGTTCAAATCCACATGCTCATCAGCAGTTGAAAAGGACGTCGTTCGTATATCAGCTATAGTAGACTTTTCAACGCATTCACTCAAATGTCATATGACCACGTAGCTTTAATTTAATGGCTTTAGTAACAGAACTATCTAGATAGATATTACCGTCCGCAGGCTAGGATTCGGTCACCAAATAAGAAATGAATAGTGGAGTAGGGCCCAACAAGACTTAAATGCAGTGGATTTATCACTTAACTCCACGTGGACAGGGAGTTGGAAGGAGCCTTGTAAGAGAACTGCGTAGTCTGTCGTCACGATGTCAGATTCTGTTGAGGGTTTTAGACAGTGAATATTCAATTGTGAGGCAGTAAGGGTGACCGAAAGGACTCGCAAAGGCATGTTTGCTCTACGAAACTGGAAATTCTCAAAAACCGGAACCACTCGGAAGAACCAAAGGCCACGCATCTTCCACGGGAGGAATTCACGCTTATCGACGAGAATCGTTTCGGCATTTTGCACAGACTTAGGTGACTTCCATCAGTTCTCGTTGGGACTCTTGCGACAGGACATGAATGTCTGATGCTGAATACAGTGCTTAAAGCGCGCTTGGGCATCCGAAACAACTCTTAAGAAACTACCCCTGAAAGAACTATGAAGGACGATGCTTCAGCCTCCCTGTTATAATATCGTAAAGTAACTTGTATCAGGCGAACCAAAAAGTGACCAAGAAATATCGGCGAGACACGGGAGAAGCAGTCCTCCCGTAGTACACGCGGCCTTGCGCTGGATTCCGGGAAGGGTACCTATCCTCCCGTCCTAGCCCTAACCTTGACCTTAAACCTAACTTGACCCTAACCGTGACCTTAGGCCTAATCTCTTAGGGATTTAGCGCCAGATCATCTGTATTGCGGGAGGAGGGGGAAAGGATGGGGGTTTGTATTGTTGCGTCCTACCGAAATAGCTATCCGACCACCTTTTTCTTTGGAAAGTAGTGCTGGAGCACGGAGCCCCTAGAAGCCTCCGTGTTTGGTTCGATCCTGGAAATAATTATCCCTGCCATGAGGCTTCCTTCAAAGTTCACGAAAACTCCAGATAACAAGAAGACAGATGAATGAATTTGCCAGGAGAACAAAATAGCGTGAAGAAGATCACAGACGAACAAAAGACGCCAAACAAATACGGTTATGAAGGATGAGTTGTAAAGATGGAGAAAGTGCCGAAGACTTTAACGTATGCCACGTCCTGGACTTCGAAAGTTACGCCCCTATTACTGAAGGGATATGAGTCAGAATTAAAACTCGATTTCAGATAGTTCCAGTCAGGACACGTTTGTGAGCCGCCTGATAGAGCTCGAGATATGAGGTACGGAGGAGAGTTGGTGGGGGAGAAAGACACCGCCGTGCCTATTACATTGATCGTTAACGCTAATGCAAGCCGTGAGTTGGTTCGTGAGTCGGGGCTGGTTCACATGCACTTTTTGTCTGTGGTTAGCATCCCCCACTGCCCTGATTTCGTCTTCGCACTGGGCTCATCAGTTCTTCTTCTTCTTCTTCTTCTTCTTCTTCCACCCTGCCATTCAGCACTCCCCTCCCTGCGCTACACCCCGTCACCACCACCACCACCACCACCACCA